TTAAAACCTCTGACCTCTGGATACCGTCAACTCAGCTCCAAGTATTGACTGAATAAAATTTCAATATATAATTGCAGAGTTGCATGATATGTAATGACGTGGCCTAATTCAATGGGGAAAGGCTTATAATAAAAACAGATATAGTCATTTAGTGAAGAAAATAGATTTGGATAAGAGCTGATTGATTAAACAAGACTCCTGCATCAAGTCAAGTAAATCACTTGTACAGTATAATATTTGTTTTGACAATGTTGTTTGTAAGCTTTATTTATAATGACGTTAACCAAAATTGTGTGCTCCCCCTCAACATTTGCATGGCATTTGGAGTTGCTGGTTATTTTAGTATTCTCAAGTTAACATTTATTCTTTTTAGCTGTTTCCTTTCAAAGTTATTGTCTTAACTTTAACAGGTTAGTTTTGCATTTTATTGTACAGCTGTATTTTACTATTGATATTGCACCCATGACATTTGCATGCAATTTGAAGTTGTTGGTAATATTGTAACTCAGTCCTTCAAACGTATTATTCTTCAGGTTATAGCCTTTAAAAAGTTATATTGGAATTGCTATTGAGTTGCTTTTTGGAAAGAGTACAAGCTCAGTGTGAAGGGGCGACAAAGAGGCACTATCACCTTGGGCAACAGAGAACTTAGAGCAGTTCCTGACAATTGCAACTAAATATTCCTTCTCCATATTTTTTTCTGGTTCTAGGTGTATAAAGTAAGCTTGAACTAGAACACCTGAGTGGTCTGGAAGGTTGAAATGTGTGTAAAATAAACTATAGAATAGATAGATAGATAAAAAAAAACTATTAAAATACAAAACATAAGAATATTAAAATGAAGTGCAATGAGGGTAACATAATAGTTCAATATCTATCAAATAAATAGACTGAAGAATGGACCAATGATTAGACAGTGTGGATAGCGATCCGCTGCCTACAGCATCCTTCAGCATGACCTGTTTGGCAGTGGGTCAGTAATGGTGTTGGGTGGTATTTCTTTGTAGAAGCGCAGAGCCTTCATTGTGCTCACCAGAGGTAGCATGACTGCCATTAGGCACTGAGATGAGGTCCTCAAACCACTGGTGAGACCATATGCTGGTGCGGTTGGCCCTGGGTTCCTCCTAATGCAGGACAATGCTACACCTCATGGGACTGGAGTCAGTCGGCAGTTCCTGCGAGATGAAGGCATTGAAGCTATAAACTGTCTGGGTGGAGATCCCTCAGGAGACCATCCACCAACTCATCAGGAGCATGCAAAGGTGTTGTAGTGAGGTCATATACGTACAGTAGAGGCGAGAGAACACACACAATACTGAGCCGTTTTAATGCCATCAAAGTTGGATCAGCCTACCTCTCTGGACTAGTAAATGGCACATCAGCCTCAAGATAGTCCATCCAATCCTTATAACTTTGTATTTTAATACAATGTATTAATGCATTTACAATTGAAACACCAAATTGGCAAAAATAACTAAATACAATAGTTCTGACAAAAATAAATTATGCAAAGTCTCTCTATGCTGGTGTTACGACTGCTTCTGAGTTACTAACAAACCAAAACAGAGAAGAAAGGGGAAGCTAAATTAGGAGGAAAGGAAATTCTAAATTTTTTTTTTTTATTATTTTTGCTTTTATTTTGGAATTGCAAAACACATAAAGGGACCTTCTTTTTTTTCTAGAATCTCAAAAGAAAACGGGCGAGTTTTTTTATTCTGTTTTTTTAAATTAGGGAAAGATTTGTAAATAAATAAATTTGTCTGATTTGGGAATTTCTCATTACAAGACCAACATCAAATGGCCAGCATGTACAGGTACCAAGTTGTAGAGGATGAAACTTAGGCATCAAATTAAATAGAAATCTATTATATAAGTACTGTTCTGCTCCACCTTAAAGTCAGAGGTAATCTGCAGAAAAGCTAAACCATTATTCATTTTATCAATATGTCTTAGCATTATATTTAAAACATATAATTTTATTTTATTTCTGCCATATAACTTTGGAGAAAATTAGCAATCATAATAAGCACTTCCATTAAACCTCTTAATATATTGCTCCTTATAAAGTTATTCTTGGTTAGTAATAAATCATTTCCCTCACTCTCATTTCATAGTTTCTTCAAAAGAAATCTTCCTCATTAGCTTGTATTATTTTTTTCTCTCTCTCAATTAGGTTATTGAAGCAGATAAATGGAACAAAACAAGAAGAAATAAAAAACTAAATCAGGTATAAACAGCAAGAAGAATAATAAAGTATTTAATGTGCTAAGTGACCTTTGCATGCTCATGCCTCTGTAATATCATTACCATGGCAGCTACAACCACAGCTATCAATTATTTGACCAACCCTGCCTCCATCACTTCAACTAACAGTTTTATGTTCCTCCTTCTATTCTGATCTTTCTCTATAGGGTTCAGGTCCTTCACCATGTCTCTCTATTATTTTAATATTTGGCCTAAAATTCTACAAATAAAATTATGCAAATTAAAAAAATGGGGATATGCTTCTTCCATCTTCCTGATATTCTTCCTCAGATTCTCAGTGCTCTCTAAAGAGGAATCAGTTTCCATTAGAAGATACATGTTCAGTTACAGTAATATACACTGAATTCTGAAAAAATAACAGTGGGCAGTTACCTTTGGTTTAATGTATTTTACTTTCTTTTTTTAACTTAATAGTTGTCACTGACATGGCTGGCATAACTTTTTCTGTGCCTTGCTGAATTATGAATTTTTTTCCTTTACAAAACAAGATAACAATAAAAGTTAGAAATATGATACTTAATGTCACACTATTTTCAAAACATATATAACTGTAAACCTGCACCATCTTTCTCTGACGAGCCAAGCTAAATAGTTTTTATTGCCTTGAAGTCAGTAAGGAGAACATGAACCTGTCATATTTGGCCGAACTTAGAGACGACAGATTCATATATCATATAACAGACATTACCGTCTAACTTGTTGCTGTTTGGTGAAAAAGCTCCACATTGTCCGGTTTTTCGGCAGGATTCTTTTACCAACCGTCTGTTCTTACCTTGAAAATAAAAAGGAACATATCTTTATAAAACGAATAAAAAAGTACACATGTACTATTTTTTTGGTGCAAAATGCTTTGAACTCTATGAGTGAACTGCTAAGAGAAATGAGAAAAGTGTATGAAATATTGGTGGGGACTGTACCTGTCAGGGCAAATTTAGTGGGGACATGTAGGCACTAGAAACTCAGAAAGTCTTGTGTGCCTGCTCATCTCCTGTCTCCCTGGTTTTTCCCTCTCCACTTTGCTGTTAGTTTAATAGAATGCTTATGCATTTTATCAAGGATGAGGATGTGTCTCCATCCCCCGACCCACGCACATTTTCATGGTGAGTATTTTCTCCTCCTTCGTTCTCTCATTTTTCTACTCGTTAGCAGTGTGCAAACTCTTTAATCTTTCTCCTCCCTGAAGAGAAGACTGCCCTGTAGACACAGAAGCATAGTCAGCATTTCAGTCCCCTATCATGTCACAGACCTCCTGACCTAACCAATCCACAAAATCCTCACTTAAATAACTAATTCTAGACAACTGAGGAGCCAAAGGATTCATTCAACTCAGTTTAACTCAGAATCAATTAACTCAGTTTTATTTTCTTATTTGGATGCAGGGGTGCTGCCAGTAATTTTGGTCCCATAAAAGGCATTGATATTGCCTCTGTGTTAATTACAGAAACACAATAGGCTCAAAAATGTTACATTAATCCTTAAACACAACAAAATAATAATAAAAAAGTTGTAGTCATGTTCCGTTTTAGATGGCACCCGGCTGGGCAGCATCATTAATGTTCTGATTCCCCTCCAACATTTAGGAAGATTAACTAAGTAGTTGTATCCAGCAGATACCTATGTTATTTTACTCAATAGGTTAATAATATATAGTTAATTTGAACTTTTCAGGTAACGCACCTTTCTGAAAAAAAAAAAAAAAAACAAGAGCGGGGAAAACTGGGTCACAGTATAGGACACCTTCTCCCTCTGTCCTCTTTTTCCTTCCTTTAATTCCTTTTTGAAACCCAGACTTTACATTTTTCAGCTGCGGACATTATTACCACACTGCTGCTTATTTGCACATTTTCTTGTTAATTTTTTTTCTTTCCTTATCACTACGTCAAATGACGTGCGCGTGGCATTGAAGCCCTGTAAGAGTGAACTGCCGGTGACAGACAGGGAGACCTGATGCGATGCGGGACCTGAGTGCCAAACAATTTTATGGGAGGGGGATTTTCAATGTAGTTTTTTCAATGTAGTCATGCTTTGTTTCAGTTTACTACTGAAAAATGAGGATGAACATGAAGATTATTTATTTTACTGCTTGATTTTCTTTTTACATTTGAAAAACATAGTGGGAGAAATCTTTCTTCTTTTTTTTTGGCCCCCCTCACTAAGGGGCCCTTATAATCATATTAACTTTTCCCCCCAATACGCGCCCCTGTTTGCGTGTTTTAGCATAAGGCAACCCGAGAGCAAGCTCTGATTTACAACAGGTCAGAAAGAGCAACTTTGCCAATGTGGAAAACTGGCTCCCTGCCGAGCGTAAGTTAGGGTCAAATCACAAAAAACAAATTCAGAAGCTGGTCATCAAAGTCTGACCATTTCATCTAGTTTGGGAGCTATACTTTTAATAACTGGCTGTAGAGAGAACTTTTAAATGGACGACAAGAGAGAGGGGTGAGGAACAGGCATGGAAGAGTTTAGGCAAGGAAGAAGATTGGAAGAAATGGAGATAGAGAGAGAGAAAAAGGTAAGATAGTTACAGTAAAGTAAGGGAGAGTGGAAGATGGGGAGGTTGGATGTGTTAATACACAGGAACACTGCATCAAACCAATGCACTGCTCTGAGCCTGGCTGAGCAGCTGAGAGGAGTGCGTCAGCAGTACATTCACGCTCCCACTGAAGGACAAAGGGAGGGGGCAGAGCAAGAATCTTAGCTGCCTGCAACACCGAGACACATTGATGGGGGGGGGGAGAAAAGAGAGATTGGAGAATAAACAAGAAGAGATGAGGATAGGAATGCTGTTCCTGCTGTTTCTGTGACGGTGGGCTAGCTGTGAGAGTGCTCGCGTGGCTTGCCATCTCTCTCGCTAAGTCTGCTTTGCACACACAATTTTTCTTTTCCTCAGATCCATCAGGAATTCTTCCTCTCATTTTCTTTCAAGCTCCCTCATGCCCTCTCTCTCTATGCTACCCTGACTACTGCAGTAGTCCACCAGCCAGCATCAAGTCTGACAGCCCTACACATGGCTAACTGCCACAACTTACTACCTCAGCCCTGGAGAAAGAAATATTGACGCAAGCAGAGGGAGACTACAGGAGACAGAGCAGGGGACAAAACAAAGACCGGAGAAAAGAATTCCCAACATCTCTCGTGGTTTAAGGAAGCAGATACGGAAACCAATTCCACTGTTATCCTCTCAGCGTCATCTTTTCCTGTCTCTCTTTTTGCAGAAGAGGACAAGAGTGTTTTTCTGTCCCTCTCTTCTCTCTCTCTTCTCCGTCAGCCTTTTGCAAAGCTCCGACAGTGCAGCGTACCCCCCCCCACCTCCACTGAACGCCACCATCTCTCCCACCACCCTCTACCCCCCTCCCCCCAGGAATAGACGGATTACTGCTAACTGTGCACACGGCAGCATGCAGCTGCTCTGACCGGGGCCAGCCCAATGTTAGGAGGAGGCAAGAGGAACGCAGAGGATGGGCGAAAAGCGTGATGACTGTGCCGGGAGTTCTTTAGTCTTTTTTTGTCTCCCAGTCTCTGTCACAACAGGGCTAATAAGCAACCGAAAGCCCTTGGCAAAGTCACAGTAAGGAAGCTCTCTCACCCAAACAGGAAAGCAACAAACGAGCCAACACATGCACCAGGAGCTGACAGAGAATGGGATTTTTTTTTTCTTTAATTTAGTCTGTTCTTTTCTCATCCTTTGTGGCAATCAGCTACGTAATGGATTATTGTGATTTATCCACTGCATGTTGGAATCTGCATCCTGGTATGAGGGGAGTCGGAAGAAGAAAGCATTCAAGCACCTGCTAAGATTTCATGGCCTTACCTTTTGCGTTAAGTATTTTCTAAGCTTATTTATGTTTTTAATTTTAGAAGCCATTTAATGTCAACGGCTATTAGAGTCACTTCACTTTTTTTAAGACAAGGACAAGAAAGCTTTTTCCTTCTGTTATTTCATGGGAAGGATTTATCAGTGAATGTCATGCACAGTTTGCTTTTAACTTTTGGGAGAAAAAGGAGCACCTTTAAACTAATGAGGTGAGTTAATAATGCTATTCAGCCTTTTTTCTTTATTTCTGATTTGCTGCTCAGACAATTTTTGTCGGAATAACCTTTCTCATTCTTTCTCTGCCTGTTTCCACCCTCATTCCTTCACACAAAATATGTTGATGCAGCATCTTCGTGCACTGTCGATGGAAACTGGGAGCCTTGGGCTTCTCCAGCCAGGCTAGGGTGGTCTTTCCTTCGGTGTGTCCCATCTCCCCCCACCATGCAGAATAATGAGCCCTTCACACCATGAGTCCGTTGGCCCAGGTTAATGTGCAGTCTACCTGGAACACAGCCCTGCTCGCCGTGCTTTCCCTAATGGTACCTGCTCTCAGTATGTGCCAGTCCACAGGCCCCGACTTAGGCTCATCAATCCCACAGAACTGTCCAGGTGTGTGCTCGTGCACTAACCAGCTCAGCAAGGTGGTGTGCACACGCAGGGGTCTAATCAGGGTTCCTCCGAACATCCCAGCCAACACCAGGTACCTGAATCTGATGGAGAACAGCATAGAGACTATACAAGCTGATACCTTTAGACATTTGCATCATCTGGAGGTGTTACAGCTGGGAAGAAATGCAATCAGGCAAATTGAAGTAGGGGCTTTTAATGGTTTGACCAGCCTCAACACCCTGGAGTTGTTTGACAACAGACTAACAGTCATACCAAGTGGAGCATTTGAGTATCTTTCAAAGTTGAGAGAACTGTGGCTCAGAAACAACCCAATTGAAAGCATTCCCTCTTATGCCTTTAACCGAGTTCCTTCACTCATGAGACTAGACCTTGGAGAGCTAAGGAAACTGGAGTACATCTCTGAAGGGGCTTTTGAGGGCCTTCATAACCTCAAGTACCTGAATTTAGGGATGTGCAGTCTGAGGGAGTTTCCTAATTTGTCACCTCTCTTGGGATTAGAAGAGTTGGAGATTTCTGAAAATGTTTTCCCAGAACTAAAGCCTGGGGCCTTTCTTGGGCTTAAGAATTTACGCAAACTTTGGATTATGAACTCTGCCATTACAATCATCGAGAGGAATGCATTTGATGACATCACTGCTTTGGTGGAGTTAAATCTAGCCCATAATAATTTATCATCCCTTCCCCATAACCTGTTCACCCCTTTACAGTACCTGGTGGAGCTACATTTACACCACAACCCTTGGCGCTGTGATTGTGATGTTGTTTGGCTCTCCTGGTGGCTCAGAGAAAATATTCCCACAAATTCCACCTGTTGTGGACGCTGTCACACTCCAATCCAAATGAGGGGAAGATACTTAGTGGAAGTTGATCAAACAACATTTCAGTGTTCAGCACCAGTAATACTTGATGCTCCAAGAGATTTGAACATTTCCGCTGCAAGGGTGGCAGAAATGAAGTGTCGTACAGCAGCCATGAGCTCTGTCCGATGGCTTCTCCCAAATGGGACTGTGTTAACCCATGGTTCAGCTCACCCAAGGATATCTGTTCTCAACGATGGAACTCTGAACTTTTCCAATGTCTTTCTATCTGACACAGGAATTTACACTTGCATGGTGAGCAACATGGCAGGGAATTCCAATGCTTCTGCCTATTTAAATGTCAGTAATGCTGAACTTAACACATCTAACCTATCCTACTTTTCAACTGTAACAGTGGAAGTGTTGGAACCTACAGCAGAGGAGACCCCTAAGCCCAAACCCACTTTACCTGCCTCACCCTCTGTTTTTCAACCTGTCTTTATCTCAACACCAACTGTGCTGTTTCAAAATACGCAAACTCCAAGGCAGGTTTCAGTCCCCACAGCCAGAATCCCTAGTGGTCCACCTGCCAGTCTGGATGAGATGATGAAAACTACAAAAATCATCATTGGCTGTTTTGTAGCTGTTACCTTACTAGCAGCAGCCATGTTGATAGCATTCTATAAACTCCGTAAGAGGCATCAGCAGAGAAGTACTGTGGCTGCAGCAAGGACCATAGAAATCATACAAATGGAGGAAGAGGTTCCACCTGTTCCTCCACCTACATCTGGATCTAGTGGTTCTGATGACACAGGTTTGGTACTGCCAACTTTAGTGGAACACAACAGCAACACATTTAAACCTGTGTATGTCTCTTCCTCCTCTTCATCCCGACAAGGGAGCTATGGGGCCCACTGGACCCAAAACAACTCTCTCCATCGCTCAGTCAGACAGCATCACAGCCACATCAGTATTATTGCTGATCCCTATGTCATAATGACCTCTCATGGCAAAGAGAAAGTTCAGGAAACCCAAATATGAATTTAACCTTCTGTAGATGTACTTCTGACTCTGTCTAAAACTCTGCTCATTAGTCCATGCAATGCACAAAGAGAAAAATATGAACTTTCTTTGTACAGAAGTGCAAAACAGACTTTGTTGTATATGGCTATAAACACATATAAATATGAAATATATATATGACTGAAGCCAGGCAGTGGTAAAATGCAGAATATAATAAAAAAGAAAGCAAATTGAAACTATTTTTTACTATCTTGTGACTTATATTTCAAAAAATTAAATAAGTTGCTTTTTTGACTGAGACAAAATGATATTGTCTAATGATACTAAAGAGACAGTTTGTTTTCAGCACATTTTGGGAAAAGTAAACTCTCCTTTAAGGCACCACTTTCTAAATGCAAAATAATAAAAAAAAAAAACATTGTTTTTACTGTGCCAAATATATCATGCAATAAAACAGAATTCCATGAATTAATTACACATAACTTAACATTTCTTAGATAGCAGCAAAATGGCACAGATAATTTGTTCTGATCAGTAGCTATCAGCCAAATGCTTTTGGACTGCAGTTAATATCTGCAGCTAAGGTTTTAACTCTGTGTGTGCTGGTTTTGGTTGTATTTCTAATAGTGCCGATGTTTTTTGTAGCACATCTGAAAATGTTTATTTCATGTGTACATGATTCCCCACATGTTTGACTGGCAAAGTTGACATTCAGCATAACAACTGTTACAAAAAAATGTATTTTCTGTCATCAGTTGCAATTTGTATTATTTCCCTAGGTTTTTGAGATGCTTCTTATTGGCTTGTGTAGTGTTTAGGGCTAATCTAGTAATGCTTACAGCAGTTGCCTGACTCGTCTCTGCAAGGGCTCATTCCATAAGTAATGTTTTGAAGGAAGTGACATGATGTGCATTAAAATGGGTCTGTTTGATTATTCTACTTTTAGGATAGAAAAAATGCAGAGGATTTAAGTCAAATAAATGAATGTCTGGAGCTTTTTCATGGACTAAACTAATAAATTATCTTATTTTCTTTTACCCTTTATTTTTAGCAACACTATTTTTATGGAACAACAAAGGGGGGCATGGAAGTAGTAAAAATATTTTGTTTTTATTTCTCTAACCTGATAGACCTTCATCTGATGTTTTCCGTATCTGAGTATCTCTATATTTCTGTAAGTTGTTTAGTCTCAAAGGCCAAAGGCAGTATTGTAAATGGTACCTTTCCTACATCCCAATCGTCCTATGCATCTACTTAGTGTCTGCATGAATGGGGTTTTAAGTAATTGGTGTACAATGCTGCATTATACCCCACAGTGGGGCTCTATGCAGGTCAAATAGGCTATTGGTCTTTGATGCCTGAGCCTAGTTCTCATCATTAATTTCTCTGAAGGAAAAAAATACATGCCTCACACAGTTCAACACAGTATGTGTGTTCCTTTTCTTACATGCTCATCCTCAGAGCTGATTGTTTTCTGAATCTGATATTAAGAAGAGAACAAAAGGTGTCTGTTGTCTATGAAAAAATTTATACAAATGACAGTGCAACTTTGGCAATATGCAATGCCACTTAAAAACAGCAAAGCAGTTTGTTTCTTTTTTTCATCAGATGTCATATGTGTCGGTGAATTTCTAAGCAATGATCTTGATGTCATGCAGCTACAAGGAGGCCAGCTACCATAACTGTGGCTTGCTTTTTGTAATAATTTAAATGCCTCTTCTATGATGTTAAACTCATGCCATTTATACAGTCACTCAGCAGTTCTCCTATATATTGTAATGATTTTACACATGCTATTCAGAAATGTAGGTTACAGGTCATTTGAAAGTTTTATATTTGCAGTGTAATTTTTCTAATGCTAAACAAACTTGATATAAAGAGGAAATTAAAATATGATACCTGTGATAACAATAAAGCATTTTAAATTGACAGTGCCACCAATATTTAATTTAAATACTTTGCACTCCACATGTTATACCAACTGGTTTTATTGTATTACAGACAAATTGATGTTACCTTGTTAAGGATGCATAAAACACATTTTGAAAAAAACATACACACACAAAAAAAAACACTCTGTGACATAATCTTAAACTGAATTTTAAAAAATGAAACTTCATTTTGAGTATTTCTTAAAATGTGTGAAAAAGAATGAAGAAAAAGATATATCTTGTAGACAAACTCACGCATGACAAAAATATTTCTTCATGTAAGGAAGTTGTTTTTTTCTGAAACATTTATTCCTTAAATTGACCAAACATTTTCTATCACTATCCTGCTAAAACATCCTATGATAGCCACATTACTTTAATAGTCCTATTTTTTGGGTAAAATCCACTATATTTACAGTATAATTAAATGTTTTTTTATGAGACATAAGTCACAGTATTATGCATCATTCACAATGCTCTACATTGGGCTTGCTATCAGCAAATGCGAACTTATTCAAGTAAAGTTAGACAGTTATTATTTGCAGTGAAAATAAAGATTGGTGCCTTAAGCTTTACCCCTTATGGCTATGCTTGAGACTATTATTTTGAAGTAATAAAGTGTTGTTGAAAAACTCAGCTTATAAGCTGCTTTTGTGGATTAAAGTGTTTGTATGACAACATTTAAAGGGAGCAGTAAAACGAAAGAAAAAAGAACCAGAGAGTCACACAACCTTATTAAGATCTTTTGCACAGAGGGAAAACTGTGACTGGCTTGCTATTAGCTGTTAAGTTAGCAGCACCCAAATGTGCTTTAAACACTCTTGAAATCTGCTAAGCTAATTCTGTTTGAAAATTTTCCATTTATTGACTCCTGAAAAGCGTCATATAATCGTCAAACTCTTTTTCTTTTAGCTCTATTTTTGAAGAAAGAAAAAAAAAATTTGATTGTTCGCAACAAAGATCTTTTTGAGAACTTTAGGAATATTATTCCAAAAAAAGTAAAAAAAAAAAAAAAAAAAAAACTGGACTTAGTTTCCAAATTTTGATGACGTTTCACTTCCCATCCAGATTTTTCAGCGAAACGGCTAAAAACTTGGAAACTAAGTCCAGTGGATTGGGTTTTTTTGTTTGTTTGTTTTTTTTTTGTGAACGACTATGATCTGGATGACTGAGAATCTTCATCAACAATACAAGAGTATGCTCATTAATTAAAATAAAGAAATTCTCAGGTTTTCTTAAAAATATTTCTAAAGTCACAATGTGACATGATCAGCTCAATTAAACTATGACCTCCACCTTATCTCAGCATTTTAACATGGAAGGGGACTGCTATTTCTTGTAAGAGTTTAATAAAAGTTGACTACTTCATTATTCTCATAGTATCGTATCCTTCTTGTAGTTGTAATTTTCTTTCTTGTAATGTTAGGACTTTATTCTTGTAATGCAGTTCTAACATTACGATTTTATTTCCATGAAAATGTGAATTCATTTTTTAGTAAAAAATGACAATAATACTCAATGTACCAAGATAATTTGATTCATAAAAATAATTTAAAAAAATCTCATATTGGTTATTGGTCAAAATCTCACATTTTGTATCATTTTGTATTTTGTTTAACATACAGTAGAGAAGTGAAATAATCAGACCTTTTTGTATTATCATTTGAAAATTGTGCATTATATTTAACAAAAAACCCAAACATCTGAAAATTTTGCATAGTTGTCAAAATGTTAAATAATAAAACAAAATCAAATATCCGCACATGGGCAAAAGTTGGTTCCCTCCTTTGATAAAAGAAAAACTCACAATGGTAGAATCTGACCAAAGTAATAATACATAAAAATTTGATGAAATAAGCAAATTAATGTCAGACATTGCTTTTTAACCATGCTTCAACAGAATGATTTTGAAAAGTAAACTCATGTAAACTTGGACAAAATGATGGTCCATGTTATATTTTGTTGCACAACCTTTTGAGGGACTCATTGCAATAAAAAAAAATCCTGAAACTGTCAGTTCATTTTTTGGCCCACCACTCATGAGCAAACTGCTCTAGTTGTTGCAGACTTGAAGGGTGCCTTTTCCAGACAGCATAATTCAGCTCCTTCCAAAGATGTTCAATATAATTTAGGTCAGGACTCATGAAAGGCTACATCAGAATAGTCCAGTGTTTTCCCCTTACCAAAACTTGGATGTTTTTTGTTGTATTTCTCTTTACATTATCCTGTTGCAAACCAGTGACCTAAGACTGACACCCAGCTCTATGACACTGGGCAGCACATTTTTTTTCTAGAATCTCTTATAGGTTTAGATTTCTTTTTATCCTGCAGATATTTAAAACACCCCGATGAAGATAAAGCAAAGCAGCTTCAGCACAGAACAGAGCCTCCTCCGTGTTTCACTGTAGAGAGAGTGTTCTTTTCTTTATATGTTAGTTCCCATCTTTAAACATAGAGCTAATGCGCTTAGGTAAAATGTTGTGTTTTGTGTCTCATCTGTCCAAAGATCATTCTCCAAGAGGCTATTAGCTTGTCAACATGTAATTTGGCAAATTCAAGGTCTGGCTTTTTTATGATTTGTTTTCAACAGCAATACCCAATTCAAACAGCAATTCAAGTTCCTGAGGGCCTGTATCCTGCAACTTTTAGATGTGCCATTGGTTCAACACACCTGAATCAAGCAATTAGATGATTGAGAGGCTTCTGACTGACTCAGGAGGTAAGTCAGTGATCTGATTTTGGTTTGCTAAACCAAGGGTGGATCTAAAAGTTGCAGGATACCAGCACACAGTAACCTTTTTGCGGTTACCATCATTTTTGTCCGCACATTTCTTTTATTTCTTTAATGTTTCTTTCTTTGTTTAAATCATTCTATTGAAGCATGGTTGAGAGGCTATTTGTAAAGTGACCTTGAGTGTCAAGAAAGGCACTGTTAAATGAAATGTATTATTATTATTATGTCTGACTTTCATCTGTTCATTTTGATAGAATATTGATTCATTGTTACTTTTGACAGATTAAAGTTATTTCCATGACCATTGCAAGTTTTTCTTTCATAAAATGATGGGTACTAACAATTTTGTGTGCATATGCAAGAAGTCTTCTCAAATGGGCAAAAAACAAGTACAATTATGGTAAAATAACCTTGGAATAAGGAAACTGAATTTTTGATCCTCTGTTTTAGCACAAATACATACATGCATATTTCTTGAATGTTTAGATTTACTAAACATATTTTATGTAAACATATGAACAGTTTTGAATTGCATCTTTTAGCTGCATGATCATTTACACATGTACAGTAATACTTAAGGATAAAAATGTTTCTAAACAAAACATTCAGTCAGATATATCTGAACCTAAGAAAGTAAGTACCGGTAATTGAAACTATGATTAAAATGACTAGAACTAGAATGGGTTTAAACAAGAACATTTCCAACTCTGTACAGATATCCTTTCAGCTGACATAGCATGTATGTTATGATGGAAAAATTAAATTAGTCTTCTGCATTCAATAAAATTTTTATATTACTCACGTACTAGCAAAGGTAGTCATGCACTTCTTCATGTAATGTTGGACAGCATTTAATTGCTGCCAGACATTATTTTGCCCAATATTAAACACTGTAAATGGTTTTAACAGTTACTTTTAATTTTTAAACAAATGTTTTCTACATTTACAAGAATTATGTAGCATTTTAGATGAAGCAGAATAAGGGCTCCATCACACCTTGACAATTTAGACAGTGTATGTCTGATGTCCCAGTATCTTCTAAAATGCTGGCATACGCTGAACTTTTCATGTATTTTTTTCAATTTTTGTCATATACATAGCGTATTCATAACGATAACATAAGCTTATGCATAATGCACGGCAACATAATGCCTATGAAATGTTGCAAGCCAGTGTCCTGTGGGGGCAGCAATGTGCCTGGTGGCATCCGACCAGACTAAAAAGATTTATCTGATTGTGGTATTAAACAAGCTGCTGTTTACCAAAAAAATTAATAAATAAAAAGGAAAGAAGGTTTGCAGTCACAGCAGATTCAATATCATGTCTGGTAGGAAGTTTGCTGGTTGTGGCCATGGGCGTGAACCCAGGGAGAATCCATCACACTCACTTTCTTGCTCAACCTATGATGTGGATGAAGTCTGGAGGGGTGCAGACGTGTCCTCCTGTTAACCCCCTTTTATACCAAAACGCTGCCAATAAATCATTATACAGTAGCTGTAAGTTAGAAACACATTAAGCAGTCATCTGGAATATGTCAAATACGTTGATATGCATTGGAAATAAGTTCCACATAAGTTATGCACTAGTAACTCATAGGTTTTGAATAAGCTAAACACCATGGCTTATAAGTAACTTACACCTAACATATGTCAATGATCAGATAACTTACATGTAACTTATGCCCCATGTATGGCATAAACTGAAATACGTTAGGAAAGATTGAACATGCTCAAAATTTCTCAACATACTTGCAGTATTTCGACCTGTGCCAGCGTGTTTCAACATCTTCAGTGTGCTCATAACTTATACAAGTTATCTAAAGTAAGCCAGCATTTTTCCAGATTTTTCGTATGTCAGGCATACGCTGTCTAAACTGTCAAGGTGTGACAGGGCCTTTAGTTGCAATTTAGGTTGTTTCATAAACATCTTAATAAGCAGTACTTTTCAGAGTACCATTCTGTCTTGGTGTTATATTTGTTTAAAACATGTCTTTTAGACTTTGTATTCAACAGGTTTCAAGGATTTGATTTTACATGCAGAAATTGGCCAGAATTAGAAATGTCCTGTCCAGAATTGACTCAGTCTAAGAGACAAAGCTTATTTATATGCATTATCTTTTCTGGGCCATAAAGTTACGCATGTCTGTCTTCTACTCATTCTAAAATTCTTTATAGGATTTGCAATAACTTTTACCAATTAAGTTGCATAAATGTTCTACATAAATTGGGTCAATTAAGATTGGATTTATGGCAGCTTCACAAGCAGTGCACTGAAGCTGAAATCATCAAGGGCCTCTACACCAACCCTGCCCAACGTCGGCCCACGAGGGCCGTTGTCCTGCAGGTTTTAGAGGTTTCCCTGCTTCAGCACAGCTGATTTCCATTGATAGCTGACTAACAGGCTTTTACTGAACTGCAATCATCAGAATCAGATCTCCTGAAACAGGGAAACCTTTAAAACCTACAGGACAGCGGCCCTCAAGGCTGAATTTTAGGCAGGCCTGCAACATTACCCTTAACCAGTGTCAAGGGCTGGACAGTAATTCAATATCATTACACTATCATCTCATTAAATAATGCCGATGTAGCATTTGAACACATATCTGTATGTCAATATATGCTGCCTTTTCTGGTAACAGTGATTCAAGCCAAACTGGAAAAACTGCACAACATTTGCTTTATGAGCAAAGATGTGTTGGTTATGCCGTTTAGCTACTTAGCTCCAATGCGGCAGGTTTTAGCTACAGGTTTAAGCCACCTCTGCAAATATCTGTGACTTTAGCATCAGACAATTTAAAAAAGATTGCTGTGTGCAGACCAAGGAGAACCAACTTTGTTCATTAAGCTGTTTGCACAGTTTAAAGAGCACATTGTGCAGCTTCTAAATAAGAAGAGAGCGCAGGCTTGTCACATTTCACAGTGACCAGTCCTGTGAGATCTGCCCTTCTACATATAGATAACATGAGAACCTTCGCTCCAGCTGCGAAATGTGTTCGGTACAATACATTTACTCAAGTACAACTTTCCCTGTGGGTAGTGGTGGGTGTAAAGGAAGTAAAGTAAAGGAGGGGGCTCCTTCTACACACCCAGATACATGTGAAAGGCAGAGGCTGGGAGTGTCCCTCTTTGGGATGACTCTGTCTAAGTTTAATT